TACTTTAACTAAAACAATAGAAAACAAAATTAAATACAGTATTTACAGGAAACCTACAAACTCTTTAACTACTATCCAATACAATTCATACCACCCACACAATCAGAAATTTGCAAATTTTAGATTTTTAATCAACAGAATATTAGATTATCCACTTGACAAAGAAACTTTAAAAAACGAAATTGATTTCATATATAAATTAGCTAACAATAATGGTTTTCCAAGAAGTTCTATAGATAAACTTTTTTCTAGAATTATAAAACAAAAAGATCCGTTAAATACTAAATTAAAAAACTCAAATTTGACATATAAACCTATAATCTACAATCGATATACTTCACCTATGCAATAAAAATAAAACAATAAAAAAGAAATAGATATAAAAAAAGAATGTGGCGTATATTCGATAGAATGTAATAATTGTAATAGCATTTACATAGGACAGACAGGAAGGAGATTGGAAACACGTATCAGAGAACATGAAATTGAAAATAATTCCAATGAAACAAAGAAACTAAGTTAATACACAAATGTACTAAAGGTCAAAAATTGGATTTGCTTGAAATTTTGGAAATTTTAAAATATAAACACAATCAAAATTATAATTTATTCAATGATCAAATACAAATCAACACAGAACCTATTTTTGCTTTATTAAAGGATTTTAAATTTAAATATAAACAGTGTTATTCAGGATAAATACCAGTTTCTTTCTTGCTTGTTCCTTTTGACCTTTCTTGTCATTTTTCGTTTATCTTGTCAACTGTAAACGCGTGGTTTGTTTTATATTATTTTGGATTCTGTTTAAATGTGTTTTAACTTTTGGTTTTTGAATTTTGATTTTTTGATATTCTATTATATTTATTCAATTATAAAAAAAAAGGAAAAGTTTCAAGTTTAGATTAAAATTGTTGAAGTTTTACTTTGGATGATGTGTTGGATTTAATGTTTAATATTTTTTCAACTTAACTGACAGTAAGTAAATTTATAAAGTTTTTGAATTTATTTCATAATGTTTTACATTTTATATAAGATTCTACTGAAGATGAGGATTGTCTCCTCGAAATCGATATAGAAATACAATAAAATAAAAAGCAAGAAATAGGAAAAATTTGTTTTATTTAAATTGACTAGAATCATTCAGGTTTAACCATCTTGAGAGCCGCACGGCTAAACCCGAATGGTTCTAGGTCTATAGTATTAATTCAAGTTTTAATTGTTATTCAGCGTTAGAATGTGGTATATTTTTATTGAACGAAAAGTAGAACTAACACTAGACCTAGAACCAGAACCATTCGGGTTTAGCTATGCGTCTCTTAAGACGGCTAAATCTGAACGTTTCTTGTTCTAGCTCAAATGTTAGTTCTAGTAACAATGCATTAGATATCACTGTGTTGCATATTTTTATTGAATTAAAACTAGAACTAAGACTAGACCTAAAACTAGAAAAATTCGGGTTTAGCCGTCTTGAATAACCTGCGGGTAAATCCAAATGTTTCTAGATTTAGGTCTAGTGTTAGTTCTAGTTTTAATTGTTATTCAGCGTTCGATTGTGGTAAATTTTTATCGAACGAAAAGTAGAACTAACATTCGTCCTAGAACCAGAACCACTTGGATTTAGTTATGCGTTTCTTAAGATGACCGAAAACTCAGGGTTACCATAAAGACGTAAGCTTTTTCCAAGTAAAAGTTTTCCTTTGCAAAACTACCCAATGCCTGTACTATTAAACGTTCGATTGTGGTACATTTTTATTGAACGAAACGTAGAACTAACATTAGTCCTAGAACCAGAACCATTCGGGTTTAGTTATGCGTTTCTTAAGATGGCCGAAAACTCAGAGTTGCCATAAAGACGTCACCTTTTTCCAAGTAAAACTTTGCAAAACTACCCAATGCCTATGTTACATTTTATGCGAGACAGTGCAGGGGCACAGTAGTTTCGTAATTGTGGTTACTGCATTCATATATTGCGAGTTATATGAAATTCCCGGTATATTAATGCATATATGTATATGCTTTGTATATTGCTGACACAAAGAAATGCAACAGATGACATTAATCCGGCGTCCGTCACGTGGGGTGTGATAAACCCACCGGGAATTAAAATGTTCTATGCTGACGCGAAGCGTGTGAGCAGGTAAGTATTCTTCTCGGTAGCTTTCGGCAATAGTCGATTCTATCAGCGTATGAAACCGTTTTGATGGCAGTTAATTGGAAGTGAAGTTAACGACCAGTTTAGTGTGCCTAGGGTGTACCAAACCCCACGTGTCTAATTGAGATAAAAAAATTTATAATAATTTCTATAGTATTTACGATATTGTGCTTCAAATTGTGAAGTGAGTGTTTGTAAATCTACTCTATTATTGTCCTAATCCTCTATAATTGTCTAGTTTTGGAAACAGTTAAATATGACAGATTATGAAAAGGAGATGCGCCGCCTTCAGGCATGACATGAAATGTCAAGTGAAGAGGAAGATATTGAGGCGGATGGCGAAAGTGAAGAAGATAATGTCAGTATAAATAGTGATTACCCTGATCTTGAGCAAGATGAGCAAAATAATGTTCTCGAGGAAGCTGGGGACGGTGAGGACATAGAAGAGAAAAAGAATTATTATTTGAGTAAAAATGGTACTAAGTGGGCAAAAAAATATTACAACAAAAACGTGAGAACCAGAGTCGAGAATATTATCTTCCAATTACCAGGAGTCAAGCAGTGCGCTAGGGGCAAAAAGAATCCAATTGACTGCTTTCTGCTATTCATCGATGAAGAAATGTTAGATAGTATAGTGAAATGGACAAATCAACGCATTGAGGAAAAAACAAGTGAATGGGATAAGTTTGCACATTACCACCTAACAAATAATATAGAATTAAAAGCTGTATTTGGGCTGCTGTATTTAGCAGGTGTTTTTAGAAATAACCGTCGTTTGCTAAGAGATTTTTGGAAAACTGACGGGACAGGCATAGAAGTGTTTCGAATAACTATGTCTCAAAGACGGTTCGGACTTTTGCTCACATGCCTGCGATTTGACAATAAAGCAGATCGCGCATATAGACATGAAATCGACAAGCTGGCGCCTATACGAAGTATAGTAGAAAAATTTGTTTCCAATTGTCAAAATGCCTATACGCCAGGCCAATACTTAACTGTGGATGAAAAACTAGAGGCTTTTAGACGGCGATGTCCGTTTAGACAGTATATGCCCAATAAGCCGGCCAAATACGGCATCAAGGTTCATGCTTTGGTGGATGCCAGAACATATTATCTCACGAACATGGAGGTTAGTAGTATAGCTATGTGCGTTCTGGCTCAAAATCCCGTAAGATTTAACATTGGGGTCCAAATTCACATTTTATCCCCACCACTACCTCCTTTCGAGGTTCTGGCCACGCCCACATTTTAAATGCAACCAATCAGAGCGCAGCATTCTCCAAGAACCCTCTTTTTGGCGGGAAATTTGAATGAGACTATCTAGATCGACGGGCCTTATCACGATGACGTCATCATCGACACATCGAGGCCGGACACAAAGCGTTTGGTTTGGCTTACCGGCTGGGTGCTAGGGTGCGGGGTGCGCGCGGGCAGGTTTCTCAATCAGAGCATAACATTCTCCGAGAACCCTCTTTTAGGCTGGGAATTTGAATGAGGCTACCGCCTTATCACAATGACGTCATCATCGATACATCGAGGCATTGATACATTCGGACACGAAGCGTTTGGCTTGGAGGTTATAAAATGGTGAATATCTCGTTAACGATGCTTCAAATCGAAAAATAAACCGAAAAATTCCCCCCTACAACATCCTGTCGCCTATAACAAGTACGAACAACATGGCACGGGTGAAAACTGCCAAAAGGGCCTTATTTAGTTATCGAGCTGATGACGTCATGCCACCGGATCGTGTGGTGCTTGGTGGTGGTGGTCACGTCATCTAGGCAGTCGGTTAGGTTCGAGACGTGGGCGGTTAGGGGGTAGTGGGTGAGGTGCGGAGTGAGGGGACAATTTGCTTCCCGTTAACAGATAGAGGTCAACCACGAACCGTGGTTGAATCCGTGGAAGATGACCGTTTGAATAACCTGTTTCAACCCTGATTCAACCGCTGTTCAACCGGTTGAATACCGGTTCAACCCCGGTTCAACCCCTGTTCAACCGGTTCAACCCCGGTTCAACCCCTGTTCAACCGCTGTTCAACCCCTGTTCAACCAGTTATTATGCTGATGGGAAAAACTTTATTAACGTTGTTACAAAGTTGATTAGAACATTTTGGTTTATTAATTTTTGTGGAAGGGAAGGTTAATTTAAATGAATTAATTAGGTTTAATTAATATTTTTTTAATATTTATTAATAATTTAATTAGGACTAATTGTAGGTAAGTGTGTGAAAGTGTAAGGTCTCCGTTTGAAGCATTTCGTGAATTACATCATCCTTCTAGATACTTCTATTGCACATCCCCACTCCCCCCTAATATTTTTCCAAGAATTAAATATTATAATACTTTTATTAAGGAAGTGGAGAAGGGCGCGGCCACCTATCAAATCTACCTACCCATTTACAAATCGTTCAGTTGAACATCAACTTTCATCGTTTGCGGACTCAATAACATATAGGTAATCCTGTATCTCATGCGAGAAGTTATAACCGCAATCTTCGTTGTTCTAGAATGGCTTCAACATCTGGCAAAACCATTTCTTTTTCAAGACCTGTAGAGGAAATGCGTCAGAGAGTTGTCAGTGCTGTAGGGACAGATATAGAGTTCGCAATAAGGGATTGTAGTCGTTATATTAAGGTGATGAACGCTGCGCTGAAGGTAGCCAACACAAGTGGCCAGAAGCACCACATAACCACTTGTGCTGGGCACATGCATGCATTCCGAAGCATTCTAAAATCGCTCCGTGGCGTAACTGGGGCCGGATACAAACCAACTAACCCGAATCGCGAAAACTTCTCGAAAGCTCGCGGGTAAAATGGCAGGACCTTCAGACGGCGTTCTCTAACAGAATGAGAACGGGAATCATCATTATCCTGACGCACAAGGACCCGCGACAATTTATGGAAGATGCTAAAAAAATGATAATCAGGAGAATGACTAATGCTGTTAAAAAATCGACATTAAAAGTTAATGCTGTGTTTTGTGGGAAATTCGTAACTAAGAAAACAGGAAAGGAAGTATTTCAATTTAAATATATAAATACTAAAAATGTCCCAATTTATAACAACACCGATTTAGAGGAATGGTTTAAGAACAACATTCAATACCCCGTTCCAAAAGACCTTGAAGAATTTCAAGAAAAGGATAGTGGATGGGCATTAAATGCTATCGTAAACCTGCAGGTAAACATTAATAAATTCACTCCACAACTTGGGTCGTCATACATTGAATTACCGAGGGCCCTTACGCTGAAGCACGCTTGCGTAAATGTGAAGAATGATGATGAAGCATGCTTTGCGTGGGCAGTGACTTCAGCACTTCATCCAGCCAATCATAACACCGAGCGAATTTGCATGTATCCACATTACTCGGAAGTTTTAAATATGACAAACATAACAATGCCCGTGGTCATGAAACAAATCCCTCGGTTTGAACAACAAAACGATGTGTCGGTCAACGTGTACATTCTCGAACCACTAAAGAAGGAGCGGTACAATGTAGTTCCTTCCTATCTAACTAGGGGGAAGAGAGACAGACACGTTAACCTACTACTCATCCAAGATAAATATGTGAACGAAGAAGATGATGATGATGAATTCAAACCGAGATTTCACTACGTTTGGATAAAAAATTTATCCCGGCTAGTGTCATCCCAATTATCGATACATCATAGGAAAAAACATTTCTGTGAACGTTGCCTTCATTATTTTTACACTTCCACTGGCCTAGAAAAACACGTGGAGGATTGTGCTAAAATGAATAAATGCCGCATCCGGATGCCGAAGGAAGGGGAAACGGTATATTTCAAGAATTTTCAAAATAAAGAACAGGTTCCATTTGTAGTGTATGCGGATCTAGAATGTCTTCTGATACCGACAACAAATACTGGTACACATCATAAGCCATATAGTATTGGTTATTACGTAAAATGCTCATATGACGAGTCCCTGAGCTTTTACAAATCATATATCGGCGAGAACTGCCAGCAGTGGTTTGCGGCCGAAATGAAGCAACTGGCTGAAGATGTGGAAACTATATTCCTATGTCCCTTACCCATGGAACCACTTACTGAAGCGCAAGAACTGGAGTTTCGCTCATTATCATGCTGTCATATATGCGAAAACCTCTTTGACGTGGGTGACGTCAGAGTTCGAGACCATTGTCACCTTACTGGTAAGTATCGAGGAGCTGCGCATGAGGATTGCAACATTAACTATCAGGATAGTCACGTGATTCCAGTAGTCTTTCATAATTTAAGTGGGTACGATAGCCACTTTATTATAAAGAATCTAGCAAAAGATTTCGAAGGACGCATCGATTTGCTACCTATAAATAAGGAGCGCTACATTTCTTTTACTAAAAATATAGACCAAAATTTACTTAAATTCCGTTTTATTGATTCATTTCGGTTCATGGCATCGAGTTTAGATAAATTGGCGAGCTATATAGATTCCTTTCCAAATTTAAAAAAACAATTTCCAAATTTAGATGAATCTAAATTCAATTTATTAACGCGTAAAGGAGTGTTTCCTTATGATTACTTGGACTCTTTTACAAAATTAAATGAAACTGCATTACCGGATAAATCAAAATTTTATAACTCTATGACCGACAGTCACATTGCAGATACTGATTATACGCATGCTAATGAAGTGTGGAACGCTTTTGGCTGTCAAAATTTAGGAAATTACAGTGAGTTATATTTGAAAACAGATATTTTGTTATTAGCAGACGTATTCGAGCAATTTCGGGCTAGCTGCCTGAATTCGTATAGCTTAGACCCGGCTCATTACTATACATTACCCGGGTATACATGGGACTGCATGCTGAAGAATACGAGGGTAAAACTTGAGCTATTAACGGATATTGATATGGCAATGTTTATAGAGCGAGGTATACGAGGAGGTCTAAGCCAGTGTTCGAAACGTCACGCCTCGGCTAATAATAAATATCTACCTAATTATAAATCAGATAAGCCATCAAAATTCATAATTTATGATGATATCAATAATCAATATGGATGGGCAATGTCTCAGTACCTACCCTATGGCGGATTTAAGTGGGTTGAGGGAAACAACATCAACTTCAATGTACCTGAGGATAACCCTGAAGGTTACATTTTAGAAGTTGATCTCGAGTATCCTGAATCCATTCATGATTCACATTGTGACCTTCCATTTTGCCCAGAACATCGTGCACCACCAAATTCAAAACAAACCAAATTAATGGGCACTTTATATAATAAAGAGCGATATGTGTTGCATTATCGTAATTTACAACAAGCGATTGAAAATGGTTTAATTTTAACAAAAATTCATCGTGTTTTGGAATTTAAACAGTCGGCTTGGTTGAAATCATATATTGATTTAAACACTAAATTTAGAATCGTGGCGATTAATGACTTCGAGAAAAATTTATTCAAATTAATGAACAACGCCGTATTTGGCAAGACGATGGAAAATATTCGAAAACATTCCATTGTGAAGCTTGTGACAAAATGGGGTGGTCGTTACGGCGCTGAGGCGTTGATCGCGAAACCAAATTTTAAATCCTCAACTATTTTCTATGAAAATTTAGTTGCTATAGAGCTCAATAAAACGGAAATTTATTTTAATAAACCCATCTACGTTGGTATGTGTATTTTAGATATATCAAAATTAAAAATTTATGATTTTCATTATTCATATATGAGGAGACGATTCGGCAACAAGGCCAGAATCTGCTACACCGATACAGATTCCCTTATATACGAAGTCGAATGCCCAGATTTATATGAAGTGATTCGATGCGATGCTTCGAAATATTTCGATACTAGTGATTATCCTGAAAATAATGTCTACAACATTCCTCGTGTAAATAAAAAAGTTCTCGGTATGATGAAAGATGAGAACGCCGGTAAGGTAATGACTGAATTTGTGGGGTTGAGATCGAAGATGTACGCATGCCGAGTGGAGGGGGAAGATAAAGTTAAAAAAGCTAAAGGCGTAAAAACATCCATTGATAAAAACGTAATCAGTTTCGATGATTATTTAGTATATCTACGAGACGACAAAGAAATGCTGGTCACCCAAAAATTGTTCCAATCGCGAAACCATCAAGTATCAACAATTGCGCAAACCAAAACTGCACTTAGTTCTCACGACGATAAAAGATATATTATTCCGGGGACCATTGACACTCTACCCTGGGGGCATTGGCGCATCTCATCATAGTGTTAATAGGTGCAGATCGAATTAAACTGTCTTTATTAAGCAATATATTTTCCCAAGAATTGATAAGACAACGTTATTTTGGAGCCTGCCTACCAACATCTGTAATGTTTTGCGACGAAGCAAAAAAATTGGAGTATCAGCCGAAAATGTTGTTTGGTTATGTGAAACATAAGGTTCTGATAAAAAGTAGGGTAAATAATTTGTTATTGTTTAATCGTTAACTATAACGCTCCTCTACCGCACTTACATGTTAATTAAAAATTTGAACTGTAATACTAATAATAAATGCTCTTTATTCAATTTATGTAATTTATGGTTTTTAAATAAATATATAATCTGTAAATATCTTTAATTTTTCCTTATCTCTCCCGACTGATCGTTGATGCTGTGATGTAGGCGACGGTGGGTTGTAGGGGGGAATTTTTTGGTTTATTTTTCGATTTGAAGCATCGTTAACGAGATATTCACCATCTTATAACCTCCAAGCCAAACGCTTTGTGTCCGAATGTATCAAGGTCTCGATGAAGTTCCACACAATAAAGCCCTTTTGGTAGTTTTTACCCGTGCTATGTTGTTCGTGCTTGTTATAGTTGACAGGGGGTTGTAGGGGGGAATTTATCTGGGTTGAAACAGGTTATTCAACCGGTCATCTTCCACGGATTCAACCACGGTTCGTGGTTGACCCCTATCTGTTAACGGGAAGCAAATTGTCCCCTCACTCCGCACCTCACCCACTACCCCCTAGCCGCCCACGCCTCGAACCTAACCGATTGCCTAGATGACGTCACCACCACCAAGCACCACACGATCCGGTGGCATGACGTCATCAGCTCGATAACTAAATAAGGCTCTTTTGGCAGTTTTCACCCGTGCCATGTTGTTCGTGCTTGTTATAGGCGACAGGCGATTGTAGGGGGGAATTTTTCGGTTGATTTTTCGATTTGAAGCATCGTTAACGAGATATTCACCATTTTATAACCTCCAAGCCAAACGCTTCGTGTCCGAATGTATCAATGCCTCGATGTATCGATGATGACGTCATTGTGATAAGGCGGTAGCCTCATTCAAATTCCCAGCCTAAAAGAGGGTNTTATTTTTCGATTTGAAGCATCGTTAACGAGATATTCACCATTTTATAACCTCCAAGCCAAACGCTTCGTGTCCGAATGTATCAATGCCTCGATGTATCGATGATGACGTCATTGTGATAAGGCGGTAGCCTCATTCAAATTCCCAGCCTAAAAGAGGGTTCTCGGAGAATGTTATGCTCTGATTGAGAAACCTGCCCGCGCGCACCCCGCACCCTAGCACCCAGCCGGTAAGCCAAACCAAACGCTTTGTGTCCGGCCTCGATGTGTCGATGATGACGTCATCGTGATAAGGCCCGTCGATCTAGATAGTCTCATTCAAATTTCCCGCCAAAAAGAGGGTTCTTGGAGAATGCTGCGCTCTGATTGGTTGCATTTAAAATGTGGGCGTGGCCAGAACCTCGAAAGGAGGTAGTGGAGGGGATAAAATGTGAATTTGGACCCCAATGTTAAATCTTACGGGATTTTGAGCCAGAACGCACAGAGCTATACTACTGAGGTTTATGTAGGTAAATAGCCTAATGGCCCTTTTGCTGTAAATAATACTCCAACGGCTATAGTAGAACGGCTCGTGAACCCATATACCGGCACTTGTAGAAACATTACATGTGATAATTGGTATACCAGTTATCATTTGTGTGAAAGCTTTCGTACAAACCATCGTCTGACTGGCGTCGGCACAATACGAAAAAACAAAAAGGAAATTCCCCAAAAATTTCTAACCGCTAAAAGTCGAACAATCAATACTACCCTTTTTGGTTTTCAAAAAGACTTCACCATTCTATCGTACGTTCCTAAAAAAAATAAAGTTGTGCTAATGATGTCCACTCTTCATCATGATGATTCATTTGATAATTCGACAAAAAAATTACCTGAAATGATTTCATTTTATAATCTAACAAATGGAGGAGTGGACACAGTAGATGAATTGTCGGGAACTTATAACGTAAGTCGCAATTCCCGGCGATGGCCTCTAACATTATTTTTTTCTCTAATGAACACGGCCGGCATCAATTCTCAAATTATCTATCGTGAGAACAATAATGTTGTATTGAAAAGGAAGGACTACCTCACAAAATTGGGATTTGATTTGATAAATGATTATCAACGAGAAAGAATGACTAATTTTATAGTACCTCGGGAAGTGAGAATGAGTTTATATAGGATTAGAGGCGAGCCTGAACCTGAACCACTTCCGAAGAAACAACGGCTCGATAAACATCGTCGATGTGATTTCTGTCCTCGCGGTCGTGATTGCAAGACAAAATACACCTGTGAAGGTTGTGATAAATACTTATGCCTGGAACATGCGCATATGTATTGTGAAAATTGTACACAGTTTAATGCTGAATAACTTTTTAGTTTTCCTATATTTGCAATACTTTTTATTGAGATATGTTAAATGTTATTAATATTTGTATTTCTATTGTGATAAATTTTAACATCTCTTAGTTCACCGAGAGAACATAACCTTAAAATTGTGACAGAGAGATTCTTTGTTGGTAAAAATCTTATCTTAAACCGTTTTGTGTGCTTCCAAAAGTATCAATTATTATAGTTCAGCTCCTAAAGCACATTTTTCATCCATTCCTTAATGTTTTAACGTTATTTTGAGGAAGAAATCCTTGATTTAAATTTGAATTTTTCTAACTTTACTCATTGTTGAAATTTGACGTGTACTCCAATGTATGTCTGAAAACAAGGAAAGACAACTTTGAATACGAAGTTTTATTACGTTTTATAAAGGAATAAGGGAGAAATCAACGAAAAAAGAATTAAATTTTGAAGGTTAATTCCGAGAAAAATCAAGAGATGACGCTAGTTTCGAAGCAAGAAATTTGAATTTTGAAAAGGGCGCGAAGCTATGAGCCAATCAGAAACGAGGAAAAAACAGTTGGAGTGCCGGGGTATATAAGGAGATCGCGAACAGAGCACGAGAGAGTCGTCGTCTGACCAGCGTCGAATCCACGTCGTCAGATAGAAGAAATTTTGAATTTTAAGAGATAACCTCAAAATTTTAAGATAATTTTTTTAAAGTCAAATCAACTTACGATAATAAAATAAAAAGAAAATCATCCTACAACCTATTCCGAGAACTCCTGATACTTCTTCGAGATCATCCAAGACCCTATTACCGAAGAACAAGCAGTTCAAAATTCCCGTAGGAAGAATCCTGTAGAAAACCCAGAAACTAGATCGTGCTTCGAACACAAGAGACAATCCAGATACCACATTGAACTCCAATCCTTTCTATTTCACAGTGAGTCGGATGATAATTTTATTTTCTTATTTAACATAACCTACAAAAAGAAAAATCAAAGAATCAAACTCAAAGAACAAATCACAAGAGTTTTATATAAATTTGATCAATACTTACTCGTGGATAAAGATTTATTAGTTTTCTTGAATAACGTTCATTTATTTATCACTACTTTTATTTAACGAGTTTGATGACAATTTAAGACGTCGGCCATTTTGTTATTTTCTAAGAACGGTTCTAACATAGAGTAGGGTAGAGGGTTAGCTCACCGGAAAAATGATAGGCCATTCTCTATCTCTTATTACCACATCATAATACCGATATTTTCTCTTTGTCATCTTGATAAAAATCCTTAGTAGATGGCGTACATGTCGTTAGATATATTAAAGAAAGCTGTTGACTTTAAATGCCTTTATTTACACTAAAAATACAAAGAGGGAGGCCTATCCAGCCATTTTTTAAAATCCGACCGTATACCGGATAATTACCAAATATCCGGCTTTGGCCGGATATTAAAAACTTATTACTTAGTACTCTACCATTCACAGGAATTAGTATCTATTTTAGGTGTTGGACACTGGAGATAATAATCAAGTTCAACCCCAATAGGACTTTTTTCATTGAATACAACTTTATTTATATCAGGTTTGTCGCTATTATCACTTTCGATTATTAATTAAAGTATCCGCTTTTTAATGCAACAAGACGTTTTGAAAAATAACTTTCAATTCGTGGGAAATAAAATTTTGAAATGATCGACAATTTTTTCGAATTTTACAATTTTCGAAGTTTTTAAATCCAGTTCTTGGAATTTACCAGTGTTAATAAGAGTGTCCTCTTTCCAATGAACGAACACGTTTTGAAAAATAACTTTTAGTTTTTGAGAAAACAATATTTGAAGTTTTGATAAAATTTTCGATGTTGCAACTCTCATCGACAACTTTCAAAATTGTCTATAAAATTCATTTCTTGAAGGATCCTTGTGGAAACATCACCAATTATTAACTAAAGTATCCTCTTTTTAATGCAACAAGCCGTATTGAATAACCGCTTTTAGTTTTTGAGAAATAAATTTTTGAAATGATCGACAATTTTTTCGAATTTTGCAATTTTCGCCGATTAAGTTTTAAAAATTCGTATAAAATCTATTTCTTGGAATATGAGTATGAAAATTTCCCAAAGTGTTAATAAAAGTGTCCTCTTTCCAATGAACCAACCCGTTTTGAAAAATAACTTTTAGTTTTTGAGAAAACAATATTTGAAGTTTTGATAAAATTTTCGATGTTGCAATTTTCATCGATAATTTTCAAAATTCGCTATAAAATTAATTTCTTGAAGGATCTTTGTGGAAATATCACCAATTACTAATTAAAGTATCCTCTTTTTAATGCAACAAGCCGTTTTGAAAAATCATTTTTAGTTCTTGAGAAATAAATTTTTGAAATAATCGACAATTTTTTCGAATTTCGCAATTTTCGCCGATTAAGTTTTAAAAATTCGTATAAAATCCATTACTTGGAATATGAATATGAAAATTTCCCAAAGTGTTACTAAAAGCGTCCTCTTTCCATGAACCAACACATTTTCAAAAATAACTTTTAGTTTTTGAGAAAACAATATTTGAAGTTTTGATAAAATTTTCGATGTTGCAATTTTAATCGATAATTTTCAAAATTCGCTATAAAATTTATTTCTTGAAGGATCCTTGTGGAAACATCACCAATTATTAATTAAAGTATCGTCCTTTTAGAGTTGCATGGAATTTCCCTGCTTTGGTGTGCACAACGCAAGCACTCACGATCTCACAAAGGACCTAAGAAGTCCGATCAACAATTTGTCCGCAACTTCAGGCTGTTTGCGAGATACTGTTTGGTTCAACAAATTCATGCGTATGCATAATATAATAATAGAAATGAGGAGAACAATTTCAGGGAAGACCAGATGGGACATAATTAGGAATGTTCTCTGATATCGGATATCAGAGAACAATCCGGGGTTCACGACATTGTGATGTGACGAAGACAGCGTAAGAGAGATTTTGACACAATAATGTCTGTAGAAATAACAATCCAAATAATGGGCAGCTAAAAATTGTGATTATAAACAACATGCTCTGAACTAGATCACCTGGTAGATTACCAAAGAGATCGAGAGACAGCTGCCAGTCAACTTCTTAAAAAATATCTTAGAGGCAGATTAGCAGATCGAGTATCTTTCATATTTTCCGATATAAATATTAGTTGTAAAATACCTTCTTTTTCGTTTGTTACATCTAAAATTTCTTGCTATGCCTTAATTGCTATTAAAAGTATGCAACCCAATTAAGAAATACAACTTATATTGTTGAAACCGACGGTTTATATCGATTTATAAACAAAATTTATCTTCAATTTACCTTGAATCTTAATTTTTCAATCGATGGTATCCCACAAGAAATTCCGAGAAACCTATAAAACATTTCCTATTTAAATATTTCAGCTGTAATAGTTTTCCACATTTTATTCTAACGAGAACTTGGTTCAATATCAACTTGGTACTAATTGAATGTTATTTGATAGTTGCAGTGTAGTGAGTAGTGAGATTAGATAGATGAATTTTACAATACACCCAAGGTTAATAGTTATTTAACAAAACTCAAGGTTTTATGGTATTTATGAAAATAATAAGTACAGCGCATGTTTAATTTTTTGTTTTCTCTCAATATCATGGGAAAAAATTTTCTTAGTTGATAGATACATAGTTAGTTATAACTTTTTGAGGTTACTATTCTTTAAAACCACTTTCCTCGGTAATCTTAATTTTTAACAACATTTTGGTGATACGTCATAATAAATATTACTTGATGAGTTAATTGAACATAAATTATAAATAAAGTGCGTTTCATAATAAAACAATAGTATTATCTAATTATTTTCATCTATTTGTAATGGATATATCAAATAGTTTTTTTAAAGGGAATATCTTATCATACTTGAGAATGTCTACTAAAAAGTTAACACAGTATGAAATTGAATATGGATATGGACACAGTTCTAGTTAAAGTAAAACATGGAAAATTACGTGGAAAACGTCAGAAAAACTATAAAAACGGAACTTTTTATAGCTTCTTTGGAATTCCATATGCTACACCTCCACTCGGAAATTTAAGATTTAAGGTATCAAAAACAAAAATTGATAAATCTTTAGATGTATTTCATATTTTTTATTGATTAAGCCCCCTCAACCTCTCAATCCATGGAAAGGAATTTTAGATGTAACAGAAGAAAAGGAAGGTTGTTTTGCACCTAATATTTATACAAAAAAAATTGAAGGCACTGAAGATTGTTTACATCTAAATGTTTATACTCCAGAGGTTAATACTGGAAACAAAAAATTAAAACCAGTTATAGTTTTCATTTATGGTGGAGCTTTTTTAGTAGGAAATACTAAAACAGAAATTTTTGGTCCAGAATTTTTATTAACTCAAGATGTAGTTCTCGTATTAATTTCTTATAGGCTCGGAGCTTTAGGTATTTAACTAACTCTTCGTTTCAAAAGATCCAACATTTCTTTATTAATTTCTTTTGTAGGTTGGTCACGCCTTGAAGATGGTTCCTTAGGAATCCCAGGCAATCAAGGGCTTCGAGACATCATCATGGGTTTAAATTGGGTTCAATATAACATCGAATCATTTTCGGGTAATCCAAGAAACGTTACAGTGTTTGGAGAGAGTGCAGGGGCTCTTCTCGCTCACATCCTTATGTTTGTGCCATCATGTGAAGGGCTTTTCCATAAAATAATTCTTCACAGTACAACGGCTCTCCTTCATTATTCTTTCGGTCGAAACGACTCCATGAAACTGTTGGCAGAAAAATTGGGTTGCACCTCAGAAAATGATAAAGATATTTTAGAATTTTTACAAAAACAACCTGTTGAGAAAATTTTTGAAGGGCAAATGATGGTTAAATACTCCATAATATCGAATGCAGCAAGACCGTTTTACCCCATTTTTGAAAATGGTGATAATATAGAGGAAAAAGTAATATTTGGAGATTATAATGAACGCATAAAAAAAGGTGAATACATAAAAGTTCCTATGATTATTGGATACACATCAGATGAAGGACTATTTTTTGACAACTTAATACGAAGACAATTAAAACGCAATGAAAACCCGATTCTAATAAAAGATTTTGAAGATATGGTACCATTTAAATTAGAATTAAAAAAAGGAAGTCCAGAATCATTAAAGATCGCCGAAAAGACGAAGATGTTTTATTTTAACGGACGAAACCCAACGTTACAAGATCGCAAACAATATTATAGATTATTTTCAGAAAGTCGTTTTAACTCTCTTATTCAAACCACGGCTAAAAAACATTTTGAAACTTTACAAAATCCCATCTATTTCTTTAAATTCGCCTTCGACGGAAAATTAAATTTATACAAAAAACTACAAGGCGTCGATTTCCCCGGAGCTTCTCATTCAGATGAGTTGTGTTATTTATTTAAGATGTCCAAAAATCCACCGGTTGAAGAAAACAGTTACGAAGATAAAACGATTCAAAGAATGGTAAAGTTATGGACTAATTTTGCTAAGAACGGAAATCCGAATAATCTTGAAGGCGAAAATCGTTTCATTGATATTGAATGGAAACCAATCGAAAAGAACAAACTACATTTTCTTAATATTGGAGATGATTTAACTGTTGGGATTAATCCTGATAAAGAAGGTGCCAAGTTTTGGGAAGAAATATTTAATATGAAACCGATATCTAAACTGTAACGTTGTGTCAATAAAGGAATTTAAAAGAAATGTATTGTTTTGTTTTTTTTAATAGAATCAAAAGCTGGTGTCAAAAATGTTTGGGAGCCTAACTTTGCGATGTTGTAGCTTTGTTCGTTTTTGTTGTATGTATGTATAGACGAAGGCCACTCTCCTTCAATGATGTCACGAGCTTCTGAAACGCTTCTTAAAAAAAAATTTAATTGACAGAAAAAAAATCAAAATTGTTGTGATGTAAGTCTAACATGGGGCAGTCAGATTCTACGCATCTAGGAGGTTTTCAAACTGGATTTTTACAATTGCAACAGCCCAGACCTATGGTTATATCAGGAGATTTGGGTATATTATTATTATTATTATTAATATAAGCGCTTCGATAGCGAAGATCTTTAGCGCTCACCGTATTTATAATTGATGGAACAAATCAATAGACTTAAAAAATTCAAGCAAATTAACAGGATTCGCGTATGCATCATCCAGACATGAGATATTATGTAATTGTCTCTCGTTGGCATATAATTCACAGTCCAGCAGGATGTGCATTACCGTAAGATGAACATCGCAGCCCAAACATACAGGTCTTGGTTCTCGTTTTAACAAATAACCGGAAGTCAGTTGTGTAAACATAGTGTAAAAAGTAACCTAAAGTTCTAGGTCTTGTGTTAGTTCTAGTGATAGTGCTAGTGTAAAACTAGAACTAACACTAGACCTAGAACTTCTGAGGACGCACGGCTAAACCCGATACTTTCTAGTTCTAGGTCTAGTGTTAGTTCTAGTTTTAGTTCAATAAAAATATACAACATAGTGATATCTTATGCTAACTAGCGCTACTTACCACTGTCTCTAGAACTAACATTAGACCTACAACTAGAAACATTCGGGCTTAGTCGCATGTCTCTCAAGACTGCTAAACCCGAATTATTCCAGTTGAACTTACTAGGTGAACTTGGACTTGCTATAAACTAGTCCCTAATCATTTAGACAAGTTTTTAATAACTATCAACTAATTTTTAGTCATTTTGAGCAACATGGATTGTCCCAAAAACCAGTTGTTAATCATTTAGACAAGTATAAAATTATGCTCAACCAGTTTTCAATGATTTGGAATAAAATGAGATGGCTATCAACTTATTTCCAATCATTTTGAACAATTTTGCTACCTTATAAACCAATTTTAGACAATATTGGTGCAATCTTCAGTCATTCTGAGCAACCTGGACTTACTATAAACTAGTCCTTATACAATTAGACAAGTTTTTAATGACTATCAACTAGTTTTCAGTCATTTTGAGCAACATGGATTGTTTAAAAATTAGTTGTTAATGATTTAGACAAGTATAAAATTATGCTAGTTCTAGTTCTTGTTCTAGCGCTGTATAATAATTAAAACTAGAACTAAGACTAGACCTAGAACTAGTTAAATAACGAAATTCATCAAATTTTGATATTTTTCTGGATATCTATGCATCTGAGAGCAAAAGTGCAAGAGAGCAATATTGTTAACAATAAAATTTGCTACAACTATTGTTCTAAAAGATATTTTGTAAGGTGCTCCAATTTCAAAGTGTTACCATAACATCTAGTAAAACAACGAAATTCATCAAATTTGCATATTTTCATATTTTTCTCGATATTGACGCATCTGAGCGCAACCGTGCAAGAGAACAATATTGTTAAGAATAAAATTTGCTACAACTTTTGTTGTAAAAGTATTTTTAAGTAATTGTTTCTAGTTCTCGGTCTAGTGTTAGTTCTTGTGACAATGATAGGTGGCGCTAGTTAGCATAAGATATTATTATGTTGTACTCCCTCTGTCTCAAATGATGGTATTTACAGTTGTGTGGTAGTTACATTTCTCTAAAATTTATGGATTAAGGTAAGTTTGAAGAATTAACGAGTTTCTATCTATTTAATATAATCTAATGTAATCTTAATTTAATTACGAGATACCTATTGTGTCAAAACTATGGAAGATATTTGTCACGAAATGTACTAAAGAGACGTAAAGACGAAGCAGAACCAGAAATGCGCTGCAAAAGCAAACGGTTCATAACTAAAAACAGTATTTCAACGGCAAAATAGGACTCTGGTCTTTTGTTTATAAAGAACCTGCAAAAAGAAACAGCGAGAACCGGACAAGAGGAACAATTGTGACAAAAAATACCGAGTCTATTAAAGTAGCAAAATGCAAAAAGCTGATTATTATCCATAACGTTGTACCAGCCATTAGATCCAAGTTCTCAAAAGCGCATAAAGCCAAGACAATTTATGTTCAACAAGATAATGCAACACCGCATTCTTATGAAAACGATACAGAATTGCTGGATGAAGAGATGGATGGTGTATTGAATTTCAATTACAGCCACCGAATAGTCCTGATTTGAATGTTTTAGACCTTGGCTTCTTCAATGCTATTCACTCTTTGTGCTGCAAAGAGTCGTTTTAAAAGAAGCTCAATTCTTAGCAAAATCCTTTCTGTAATTGGAATTCTCAAAATATCAAAATTGACAATCATCTACATTAAATTCTGTTATGAGTTATGACTTAAAAAACTAAAAGTGATAGAGAAAAACTTTTCTTATAAAAATTGATGATAATGAATCAAGATAACATTACAGTTCTAATTTTGAACTAAAATTGAACTAAAACTAGAACTAACACTAGAAACTTTCGGGTTTTGCCGTGCGTTTTTTAAGAAAAGGTTTGACGTTTCGGATGCCATGTTACAACCTTCTTCAGAAACTGGTTCGAAGTGATTTTCTGAAGAAGGTTGCAACATGGCATCCGAAACGTCAAACCTTTTCTTAAAAAACGCACGGCAAAACCAGAAAGTTTCTAGTGTTAGTTCTAGTGTTAGTTCTAGTGATAGTTCTAGTTTTAGTTCTAATTTTAGTTCAATCTGCGTTATATTCTGTTATAAGTAAAAAATTAAAGGCGATAGAGAAAAACGTTTCCCATAAAAATTAATGATAATGAATCAAGATAACATAATTCATAACCAATGCTACCATAGATATCACCATTTCTTAGGTTCAAGTCAGGAATTCTCAAAATATCAAAATTGACAATCATCTGCGTTAAATTTTGTTATAAGTTGAAAACTAAAGGTGATAGAGAAAAACGTTTTGCTTAAAAAATGATGATAATGAATCAAGATAATATAATCCATAGTCAATACCACCATAGATATCACCATTTCTTAGGTTCAAGCCAGGAATTCTCAAAATATCAAAATCGCCAGCAAACATCGCCAAAATCTATGAATGAATTAATAGATTGTGTTAAAAGTGCCTTCAATGCATTAATTAAAGAAAAATTAGATAACGTATTCTTGACATTACAAAAGTGCATAGAGTCAACCATGATGGCCTCAGAAGGCAACAACTATAAAATTGAATAAATTTGAATCTAAAGCCGACGTTACACGTCGCAATTGACTGCTATGGCGGCAACTGCGGAGGAGCGTGGTTTGACTGTTCCCGTCAAAATTTGCGTGTAACATGTCTATTACCATAGTAATGACTGCGAGCAAAGCTACTGCGAAGGCTAGAAAATTTTCTACTTTCGGTATATCACGTAAATTTGACGATTTACACGCCAATTTGACGCTAGCAGTAAAACCACGCCCATACCACGCCCCATCGTAGTTACCGTCATAGCAGTCAATTGCGACGTGTAACGTCGGCTTAAGCATGCACAGAAAAACTTTTCGAACGAAAGTTGTAGCAAATTTTATTCTTAACAAAATTGCTCTCTTGCACTTTTGGTCTCAAACGCATAGATATCGAGAAAAATACGAAAATTCATGAATAAAGAAAAGCTTCACCATGAAGGGCGTTTACATTGAACCAGCTGAATTGTGTTTAAATGCGTAAAATTTTCATTTATGTATGTTTAAATTAAGTTACAAAGTGAATTTTACTAATTTTACAAATACAATAAAGCAATTTTCAAAGTTTTGTATACCATAATTTGGGACAAATTGTGAGAAGAAATGTATACCATAATTTGGAACAGAGGGAGTAACTAATAAAGCATACTTGTATCCAATGACAAAATGAAGTTGGCTTTTGGATATCATTCTCCTGAAGCTCTTGGTGCAAAGAGCGTACGGGTAAAATTTATGGCAATATTCTTGTACTGCCTTTTTCTCTATTGAAGATCTTACACAAGATAGGATGTTTCTGTCTAGAAATCTTTGTACGAATACATTTTGGGCATCATTAATATCTCTGACTGCTCCATAAACAAAAGTCATTTTAGTTTTTTCAGCAATCTTGTCCCTTTTCATGCATTAATTTGGAATTATAAGTAGTTAGCAGGATTTGTTATGTTTTTAGTTATTATACATTCATGATTTTCATTATGTTCAGTCAACACAATAAAGTCAACCTTAAAAAAGTTCATTAATATACAGGGTGTTTCTAAATTAATGTGATGGATTTCAAGGACTGATTTTTCACCAAAAATTAAGGGGGGGTCTTTCATATAACTTTTTGTTCAAACTCCCTTCCCAACCGAGTTACAGCACTCTAAAGTTAGGGAAAAAAATTGTTTTTATTTAATAAATCCACTATGGAGAAATTCAGAAGAATGAAATTTGACAGATAACTGTTGCTAATAAAGGGACACTTTTTGACGATTTTTATAACCCGAAAATGTTATTACAAGGAGCTGAAAAAATCAACGCCTATAATACTTTGCATCCGAATTTTTTAATGCATCTACATTTTTCTATTTAAAACTTTATTTAAAAACGTGATTTAAATAGAGGGATTCAATAGGCAATTTTTTTGTCTCTTGGCATTTTCTCCTAAAATTGTTAGTTTGATCACAAAAAAATAAAGTAATACATAGGCTCAAGTGAATTAATTCAGAGATTGGTTATTATTAGTCAAAGAAATGAAGTTATGCCAAATTGATCTCAGCATTATTTTATTTTTTGTGAAAATGTCAAGAGACAAAAAAGATGCAGATTTTCCCTTAATTTTAGAGGGCTA